CGATTGAGGACATCCAACGATCAAAAACAAAACAAAACTAATCTATTATCCTACTGTTATGCACTTCTCAATGAAATCTGTAGACATTCTAAGTGGCCTTGCTGACATAAAACAACTCTAGCTGTGTCTCTCAATGGGCTCCTCGAGAGACGTTTCCGTTTTGCTGAGGCTGAGCTGTCGAAATGTTGAAACCAGCCTAGGCTCATTCTGAAATCAGCCACCAAGGCCGGTTTTCTCTACCTTGTGAGGGAACAAAAAGACACCAACCTCTTTTTGGTAAGAGTCGTCTTACATTAACCCTCTATATATCACAAAGAGAAGTGCATTTGTTTCATGGGAACAGGAGTACTAAATTTTATTACTCAATAACACTCTTATTACACAACTTGAGCTAAGCATGCATCAGCTGGAAATAGATATAAGTATAAGCCAATGACAAAATTAAGCCTTTAACAAAGAATATGATATTTTGGGTATCAGAATATGTTCTCGTGCTAAAGGTTATGGTATAGCCATATAGGGAATCAAACTGCATTTTTTTAGATAATGTTTCACAAGAACACAACAAAAAAGATGTTGGGAAACAAAAGCAGTGTTTTCCTCACAACCTCCACCAAAGGCACCTCAAGCATATATATTTACACAAGAAAAATGGCATGTTCCCATGAATAATGATACAGTTTCAGGTCAACAATAATAAGCCTATCTACCTCTATTTTCTTTCAAAAGAAACATATCTATCTACTCACTCATAGTAAAAAAACATGTGAACCAATAATGCTTCCCTAAATGACTCTGGGATGGTGCAGAGTATATCACGGGAGAAATGCATTGACTGCTGCAACATCCATATCACTCTCTAATCTACTACTCAGATCCATCTTAATACCACCCTGGGAAGCTGGGTCTTCTAGGTAGCTGGCGATATATCACTGAATTGCAATAATTGCGATCTTAATACCAAAAGGTATCACTGTCATTAACCCACTGCACAAAATTCCGAGGTAGCTTCTGAGACTGCATTTCAGCAAGATGGTTTTCCTGAAAAGCAATATAGATGAGGTAGTGCATCATGAGTTCAGTCCTCAAATTTGGTGGAATGACTTCATTTCTCATACTAGTACTATTTAATATTTATTAGCTTATGAGGAATGAGGTGATGATGCACCAACCTATTCCATTCCACAAACCAAACAAAAAAAAGTGAGGAATAAATAGATGATGGACTAACTCATTCTCCAAACCAAACATGCTGAGAAGGATTGTTTTATAGACAGTACAGATTTTGGGGGCCATTTCCTCACCATGATGTCAGGAGCTATGCCACTAATGACATTCTCAGTTGATAGGTTCACATCTGGCGTGCTAGTTGCAATAGACCTGTTCCAGCATAGTTGACCAAGAAAGGTGAGAAAAGAATTTATTTCTATTGATGTCTTCAAAGCAGCAACAATAACCAAATACTGGATGAACAAAAGGCGCATGAAAATAAAATATATACAATGTGGTTTTCAGCGTATAAGATCATATCAAATGTTACCAAAGGATTGTGCAAATCTGTTCTCTTTTCTTTCTTTAATATATAACCAGTAGATAACCCCCAGCAGGGGGTGTGCCCTCCTATTTCTTAAAAAAAAACATCCTACATGTCTTTGGTTAGTAGTACAGGGCTAGCTATGTGGTTGCAAGAGCAAGGAACTTTGCATGCATATGGACTTATGGAACTAAGCACAACAGAAATAATAGCAGAGATAAGTTATAATTATCCTTAATCTCTCTCTTTTCCCTTGTCAATTTTCCCAGCCCAAGTCCCAAAAGAAAGAAAGGTGCATATATATAACACAATAAAGAGAAATTTCTGTTTAAGGCTTTAAGCCTACCGATGGCAAAAATGCATGAGAAGAGAGTTATATAAGATAAAGTAAAACTGATAATTTGACCTTTCATCACTTGAGTTGCCTGAAGTGGAAAGCCATTCAAGATCCAGAAAGTTTGAATCACCAGAATCATGGTAATATTCAACTTCAGCTCTTGGGACATGAAGCACATCAGAGGCTGTGGGAGTATACCTATAACAAAATTTGGAGAACAAATAAATTGTCATATGTAACCAGGAAATCTCATATTAATTTTGAAACACCAAATTCTTGCAACCTCAGTATTTTTCCTGCTATCAGTAAAGATAAATGAAGGTAAAAAACTAAACAAGCATAAACAAACCTTAGGTGTGATACCCCACTTCCACAGGCTGACGAAATTTCATGTTCATGAAGTGAATCAGTTTCTGAAGTTGGGAATTGAAATCCATTCTGGACATCAGGCTGCGATGCACTCAACGGTTCATTATGGCAATGACCAGAGCCAGATATAGAAGCATTGCTTTCATGAAGAATGGTGCCATCTGATTTTACTCTTTTCAATGTACTGTGACATCAAAATAAACAGTCGATGATAAGGATATTGCTAAGTCACCACTTGCATGCTTCAAGATAAAATTGGGTTCTCTTCAAATATCCTAAGAGGTCCTCATGTCTCATGGTGTTCATTAGAGTGTTCAACATAAATAATCACAGTGCTGCAAATTCAAACATATTCTGCAAGATTTTTGTAATACATCTAAGAACTTCAATCATCGAGAGTATTTTTAGCTGCTGCACTGCAGTACCAAGCCTATATCAAGAATTCAAGATGCTCAATTGCTGCTTGGATGGTTGTGTACAAATATTAAGACACCCTTGTGTATTCCAAAGTAGCATAGCATTGTCAGCTAATTAAGTTCAAACAGGAGGAGATTTAATTTGCCATGCAAAAGATGGACTGTTCAGTCCTATAAACTAAGCTTGCCCAAGGAGGCCTCAATTTATGCTTACTGTGATCAAGAAGAATATACACAAAATGGCCGACATGGAAGTAGGATCGATAAATGGAATATCTCAGTCTAAGCAGGATAAACTGTAAAGAAAAGGTCTCGGTCATATGGTTCCGTAGACCCTATATCTCCAGATTGTCTAGTTCAATTTGCAAGGAGTTTAGTGCAAGGCAAAGCCTTTTTTTTTGTAAAAGGAAAAGTAACTCAACCAGACAACAATGGCTACAGACAATTTTGAAAGTTTCTTTTCAAAAGAAAAAATATGAAAATTTACAATATCATGTAATAAACTAATGAAGACACCATTTCTCTTTTTTTTTAAATGAAAATGGAACATTGAAGCTCTACTTGTTAGTGACTTCATAAGTGCACATATTCAGTACAACATGAAGAAATACTGCAACATCATAAAGAAACCATATAGCCTGGAATTTTTTTGGATCTAGTACATTGAATACAAACATCTTTTATATAAAAAATAACTGGACATCAGCATATGACTAGCAAACGTGCCCATGCGCTGCAATGGGACCCACTACGCCTTGATGTCGGATTCGCATACCATCGTTGCATGCAGGTCGTTCTAGCTCGTGATGAGCACAGGACGTGATCTAGGTCGCACGAACATATGAGTACGTAAGGGTATTTTGGGAATAAAAAAGTAGATTGGAAGAAACTCTTCGCTCTTTAATATTAGGTAGAGGTAGATAGGCAGAGATGATATTAAATAATATACTATGGGTGGACAAAACACATGAAAAGGAATTACGTGAACAATAGAACACACAAATATGAGGCGCTTAATGGATCATGTACAGCCACTATGCAGTCCTACATTTTACGGACTTAAGAGGTTAGTATTAGACACTTCCAAGTACAATGAATGCATCAGAATGTCCTTGCAATTATCTCAAAACATGACAATATTCAACAACTGATGTACTATGTCATTAAATATATTCTTGATCTACCTTGGCTGGTCATCAAAAAGATCATTGTTATGCTCCCAGAAGATGATTCTAATTCCCATAGTGCAGGTTTTCCCTGCTGTGGCTGGAAGTATCCCAAAAACCTGAAATACAAGAAGGCTTAACACCACGTGATATATATAACAAACCAATCAAAACACCGCTCACGCCCACACTACGACAGATAAAATAAAGGAAACAGACTACTTAGCCAAACAAACAATGATATCCAGTAAAACATACAAGTTTATAGCAGCCTGTTTGTTAGCATCTATACAGGTGTTGCTGTAGTGCCGCTGAAGTGTCCTAAAGAACTCTTGTGACTGAATAAAAAGCTTCAAGTGACCTCTCTTTGCAGAGAATACCTTCAGAAAAGAACACAGCACAGAAAAAATTAGAGCAATGCTGAAACAAAAACATAGCATAGAGGAAAAAAGACAACATGCCACAAAGCAATGCAGGTTTAATCCTCATTAGAGGATTGGTAGCTTTGCTTGTTGGAGATGTGGCATTTTAAATGGGCCCATTTTGTTTTAGCTTGATCATTGAACTGGTAGGTTATTAGCCTATTAGGAGATTGGAACAATGAAAAAGATTGTTCATTATGCATGACTTTTCCCACTTTGCACACAGCTATGTCCAGTGCCATGATTAGCCTTCATCAAGGTTCAGAGAACAGTAATGCATTTAAAAACTGTAGGACAATTATACAATGTGCTACCATTTTAGTGTCACCGTTCAAGTTCCAATTTTATATTTCAACCAGGAGCAGCTGCCACGGCTCACGAGAACAGTTTGTGTACAGCATCTTGGAAATCTGTCTATGGTGCAAATTGCAGATGTCACTTAAATAAATAGAGCTGTAGTGCATTTTTCTTTCCTTGTATGAGATAGTAGCTCGACTTTTCAATAGAAACAATGGTATGAAAACAAGCAAGCCCATTCATTGTCAATTCTAGTATATGCTGGAAACAGTTACTCATGAAAGAGTAAAGCACAAAGCAAGCATCTCAGTATGCTCACGTGCTACACTGCAACTTAAGCTAATGAATTAACCAGTTCTAACAACTTCCAACCAGATATATTCCCTTCCTAGCATTACAACCAAAGAACATGCCACAAATTACCTTGTTATGAGCAGCAGAACCGCTATACTGTACAGCAAGTGTGTCACCCATCCTCTCATAAAAGTGCATCAAATGATGGGCCAAGGGAGCTTCTAAACCTAGTTCAGGAGATTCTACAGAACCAAGCGCATGCAGTTGATGTCCAAGAGCAGCTAAACCATATGCATACTGAGCAACATTTGTACGATCCAGGCAATCTATACAGTTTGTCCGTAAGACACCTTTTTGGAATTTTGGTGGTTTTGGCGGTGGCAGTCCACTATTCTCAAATTTGTCTTCTGCGGTTGCATTACCAGAGGAATCAGAGCTGCCAGAGATATCCTCTTGGGATACATCACCAACAATCTCAGTGCATTCAGTGTCGTCACTATTGTTGTCATCACATAAATATGGATCAAGACCATTCCTGTAAAGCGTGAATGAGAAAACAGATTAATTTTTCAAAGAAAAATAGTATCAACTCTTGAGGTAGCATGCAACAGAGAGTGAACCAAACTAGAATTGGGGAAAAAGCCTTACAATAGGGTGGGCCATTGTGTGGAAGTCTCAGAACTTGGTGCAACTTGACAATAGAAGAACTCGGTCAAATTCAGAGCCCGAAATGCCACTTTCAGAAGGACATCGAGTACATTTGTAGGTTTTCTGAAACAGAGCTACATCAATAACACACACTACCAAACAAAGACAGATAGGAAACGTGAAATATAACAATGAATACCCTTGAGAGTTTTGATGAAGATCCCAATGTAAGAACCTCAGATGATTCTCTTCTGACAGGCTCTTGTTTATTATCTTGATCGCCTTATCAAATTCTCGGCGAAGTATAGACTCTCGCCTCTCACGTGTCTTCCAAGTAAATAACAATGACAACCATAACAGCAGCATACAGAAAATCATCATTCATGTGCAGATACAATGACAAGACGCTGCTACTCCAGAATAAGAAGGTAAACTCACCTTAATCAAGTTTAAGATAATGATAGGGTTTCCATATCTTGCTCTAAGATTTTCAAAATGAAGCTTGGTAGCTTCATAATTATTCTGCATCTCATGCACTGACAAAATGGGGAAGTTTTACTTGTGGAGTTGATGAAAATGATGGGTGCATCATAGTAAGGTTTTCAAACTTACATATTATATTAGGTTTAAGATTCAATTTTGATGTCTCCTGTGACCAGAATAGTGGAATTGAACCCCTGTTCTGCACAACAGAACTTACTTCAGTAGGTCCAGGCACAGCTTCATAGACAATTTGCTCAGTCTCAACGTCATTTGCTACTCTTCCCTTCTCATTCACCCCCCTCTTTAGATATCTGTTCATTATCCGTTAAACTAAGTCCAAATATCGTGCCAAACTAGAAAAAGAGACAATTTATTTAACAAATAAGTTTCAAGCACAAACCTGGTTCCAGCATAATGTCTCGATCGTCTAGCAATGAGTGTGAGCATAATATCCTTGCCAGATATTGAGAATTTATCCTAAACACAAGACAGAAGGGCTTTTTAGATTCAGGTGCAGAATCTAATAATGATATATTTTGCAATGACTGGGTACAGAAAAAGAGAGAACCAATGCTAAGCAATGTAATCCTGGTAGACAGAACATCTAGACGAACCCAGTCACAGGCTCGCACATGACTATTGTTGTGCCTCTTTTTTGGAATAAAAGCATTTGTAGTATTTTCTCCTTAATAAGTGAGTACTAATTCAAAGGAAACTAGTTTCTTAAGCATGTACCTGCTTAAAGAAACCATGGACTAATGCGACAGTCCACAAAGTATTTCTGAGACAATTACGGATCCGTCGTAAGATACTCATTCCAGACAAAGATTGTCTCGTATAAGGTCCATCCATCCTGTGGATCAGTCAAGTTCTTCTGAAGACTTCTCATAATGTGGTATGAGTAACTGAAAAAGAAATCCTTCCTAAGATCAAGTGCATTCAAGATCTTCCTGTATCTGCAGGATTACAAAAAGAGCTGGCTTATTGTTAAGAACTGCGCTAATGCAGTGTCAGCAGAAGAAAAGTGGGAAAGATTGTTAACAATTCATTACTTAGTTCAAAAGAAATAGTATTATACATAGTTAGCTGCAGATCTGGAGAAATTAAATTACGAATTACAAAGGAAATAAACCTCCTTTGGTATAGTTGACGACATGGATCCTTCAGACAGTGGCATTTGAGGGCACAGCATACAAAAGAGGAATGGGGGCTAAAAGAGTTCTTAACAATGCTAGACAATAACTCATAGTTTTTCTACTGCTAGATTGTGTAAACAAAAAACGTAAAATAAATAAGCAACAATGACATTTTTCACACAATATTTTTTTCCTCGATCAGCCCAACCATTTTAAGTTAATGATGAAAGTAGTAATACAGTTTGGTACTTTTGGTAGTTTGATACTACAATGGAACTAAACAAACCTGTTCTCATCCTTGGAGTTTTGAAAAGTAGATCTTGTCTTAGAATTTGCTAATTCAACCATTGAAGTCCTAGTCACCTGGTACACTGGATGACCAAAGATTTCACCAATTCTTTTCTGCTCGGTAATAATCAACATGTAATATGGCCCAAGGAATTTGATAAAACCTGGGAAAACAAATTCATCATCAAATATATGTATACAAATGTAATTCATTCATGGCTTGTAAAACAAACAAGGAAAAGAACATTTACCAATTATGCCATAGAACTTTGTAACAAATTTTATTCCGCCAGTTGACCTGTGCTCTTCATCAAGACCCTTCAACAAGTCAGGATGTTCACTTTCAGTATATACAGTAGAACACTCATCTATCACAAGCTCTGACGGCTCTGATCTATCGATCTTGAGTAATCTCCAAAGTGTTCTGTCAGAATTAGTTCCTAGAACGTAAAGTCTCTGCAAAGTAAAGCAAATCATACTTAGAACTAGGGTCAGATGTGATAAGGAATTGCATCGGTTATTGAACGGATAAATTAATCAATTCAATCAACAGTTCGATGACTGAATTGCAAACACAGTGACCAACAACAGGTTATTGTATCCTTTTATTAATGGATGGAGTATTATAGATAGATACAGGGAAGTTTCACCAAGCCAAGCTTTCGCCGTTCCCACTTGATTCTACTCAGCACTGCTTAAACAATGTCCTTACCGAACTTCATAGTAGTTAACAATTCTGTATATATATAATTCAATTATTGCTAATAGTCTTACTAGGCATTTATTTGCAGACGTGATCAGAGGTGAAAACCAATCTGCTTTGTCCATGCCTTTAGAAACCAATTATCTATCATAGCTCCTAGTGCTAAGATTATCAAGATCCGAGAAAGCAAACAAAGTGGAAGGCAAATTATAACATGTGAATTATAGGGAGACCTTTCTGTTACAATCAAAGAAATTGTTAAAGTCTAAGTAGCATCTAACTTATATTTCAGCAGATCAGAGTTGGATGTGAATCCGTATATATAGTAGAACGAAAACAATCAAACGTTCTGTATGATGAACATTTCCACAACATGTTGCCATACCATGCGTGGGCTAGTATTCCGGATTAATTGTCGAAGAGGGGAGCTAAGCTATTGTCTAATCATCACAAGGGTGGATGATACGAAAATACCAAAGTTTTGCGGCGAAGACACAACAAGAGATTCGACTAGAAAACGGTTGGCGCGAATCGACGCGAAATGGCAATTCCGAACAGCACGAACAACGGGGGTCGAATGCGTACTCTGGCCCATACCGAATCAATCAACCGATCCGGAGGCCTGACTGAATGGTTCCCTTCCCTCAGCACGCACCGCGCAACGCACGCATTGGTAGGCTTACCGACTCGCTCTCGTGGAGCTCGAAGCTCTGCAGGCAAGCGCGGTCCGCGTCGTGCTCCATGGCGGGCGCGCCTCCGCCGCCCGCGGCCGGCCCCAGCCGGATCGCCCGCCCGCGCCACCCTCAGGCCCCGCCGCCGCCGGATCCCCGCCGCGGCGCCCCCGGTCGGAACCCTAAATCTCCCGCCGGCAGCTTGAGGTAGAGCATTCCCCGCGGCCTCCCCCCGGCGAATCAGAGCTGCTCCCGCGCGCGCCGGGCTGTGCTGGACCGGACCCCACGCGAAACCGCGCCCCCTCCCGCCCTCGGGGCCAACGGCCAAGGGTCCGACCTGGCCCTTCGCGCCGCGACGTCACCGGAAGCTCCTTCTCGAGCAGGGGAGGCTCGGGAGGCCAGGAGAATTCCGCGAGGCCAAGGAATCCGCTGGCGCAAGGATGGGAGGAGGAGGTTGCGGCGAATACAACTGCACGTCTAGAGACTAGAGAGAGAGGGAGAGAGGTTAGGCCTGTGCCTGTTACGGCGTGTGGTTTTTTCCCGTTTAAATTTGGCTGGAAAAACCCGTTCGCTTCGTGCTGCTGACCTGCTGGGACGGTAACACCAACCAGATAAGCACAGGCCGGATGAGTGAGGAGGCATCTTTGGAAGGTGACGCTGGTTTTTGCAGCCTGGCACGGCCGTGATGACTGTGAAAGACGTAATTAGGGGGGGGCAATTTGAGTGGTACAGGTCAGTTTCCTGTCTGCGATTCAGCGAGCAAGCAGAGTTTTGCGTGCTCCATATATATCTAATTATTAATTATTTGTTTTTTATTATTACACTCCACAAAAAGAAAAAAGTTACTGCTCTACTAAGGAGCTGTGCGTTAATACACAGATGGAGGTTAATTTCTTTTTAGTAATTTATATATTGCTTATTAGTCATCTCCACAAAGGCAGAAAATGTGTTTGCTTAAATGGTTACGTATATTGTGATTTCAGCTAGGAATTAGGAGAAGAGAGAGTTCCGGCAAATTGGGATTTCAAGGAGCTGTCTTTGTTACGTACTTACTCCTACGTTCAATAGAATAGTTCTGAGACTTGAAAAACACACAATGCCAGCGCAAGGAAAGGATGCAGATTTCCCGATAGCAACAAAGAATAAATATCGTACTATCCCCTAAAGAAACCAACCGGCGACAAGTTCACATGTTCTTTTTTATATATTTAGCAACGCCAACTCTGTGTTATAAAACTTCATAGGATTGCTTGGACATTTGTCCATGACTCACTATATCTATCCCGCGTAGTTTTCATGGCTGGTTTATAATAAGAATAATGGCAATATCATATAAATGTCTCCCTCCCAGCAAAGAAAAATAGCATACCAATGCCAGCCGGTGTCAGCTCAATAACATGCCATGAGCTAATCCATCCAGCTCAAAAAAATATTAACCATAAACTATATATTTCCTCGTTTCCAAATTTTCTAAACTTTAAGTCGTTCTGTCTTTTCTAAGTTCATAAATTTTACTATACACCTAGATATACATCATGTCTAGATACATAGAAGAAATTATGTATTTATAAAAGTTAGAACAACTTAAAATTTGAAAATGAGGAAGTAACAAACTTGTTGGTTGTATATACAGTTTGTTGTGCGATTATCTAGACAACTTCCTCTCAGAGATTTATTAGCGCTTACGTCATTTGTTCTAATTCGTATTGAAATCTGTATCGTGGCTGTACACATGTTGTTCTAGGTCATATGGGCACAAGTCATGAGCTTAGATCATGCACAGTAAATAGAGTATGCAAGAACTCTTATCAAACAATACATGCATAAGTCTAATTCTTTACTAAAATCGGTCAAGACTTCTATACACACAAGGGAATGGAGGGACAGACAGACCCAGAAAGAGAGTGATGGACAGGGCCAAGACTAAGAAAGAATTTTTCTCCTTTCAAGATATAGACATAGATATGGGTATAAGAAAATATATGTATATTGACATCATAAGATAACATTGCTATAATTGCCCACAAAAATTACTATCTTTTCAAATGTCGTATACATAGTATTTATAGAAATCGTTGGTTAAGACTAACAATGGAGCGATGGTAGCTTTGTTGGTTAGATTCCTCATATTAAGACCTACTAGTAGCTACTTAGGTTTACGGCTATTCGCCCTGTTCGCTTGGGCTTGTTTGGCTGATAAGCCATAGGTGAAAGCACTGTTAGCTGATTTGGTGTGAGAGAAAAATAATGTTCGTTGACTGAAAAAGTACGGCTTATAAGCCAAACAAGCCCAAGCGAACAGGACGATTGTTCTTTCAATACTAAATGATTTGTCCATCGGCAACTAGAGTTTGTAATAACTTTGTCTCTCCAAAACATTCATAAAAATAAGATGTGCATGTTTGTGTAAGATGAGTATGTGTATTTGTATATGAGCATCTTCATATTTAATGTGTTTTTTTACTAGAAGCTACTCCATCTGATCCAAAATACAAAATGTTATAGTTTTTCTAGATAAATAGGTTTTGATATACACTTAGCTATAAAACTATCGGTACTACTTAGCGCCAGACGTCCGGACGAACGTCTACAGCTCACCACTGTGCCTACCCACCCATCTTCGCGATGCTCAATCACCTTTCGCTCGCCTTAGTTGCTCACTTTCGCACTTCCTGGCCCACTCAAGTGGGTACTGCTCATACTTTCGCCTCCTCAAGACGCACGCTGGGACCGGCTCTCCCTCTGCACTCCGCTTACCACGCTGCTCATGAAACACTTGCAACATGAAGAATTTGCTTGACACATACATCTAAAACAGATGAAACATTTGGAACATACGCTTGCAACATATGTGTATAGCCACTACAACATATGCAACATATAGATAAAACACTTGCAACATACGTCTAAAACAGCTTTGAAACATTTGGAACATACACTTGAAACATACGTATATTGCATTACAACATGTGCAACATCCTGATCTACTTTTACAACATCCAAATAAAACACATGCAACATACGTCAGAAACAGCTTAAAACACTTGCAAAAACACCGAAAACACTTCAAAGCCATTGCAAACATACGCAACATCGGCATAAAACACTTGTAACATATGTGTGAACATGTGCAACATCTAGATAAACATGCTTGCAACATACGTCGAAAAACAAATAAAACATTAGGAACAGACACTTTCAACATACGTGTACAACCATTGCAACGTATGCAACATCCCAATCTGGTTTTGCAATATACGTATGAAACAATTGAAACATACCTCTGAAACAACTAAAACACTTGAAATATAATCTTGCAAAATGTTTGAAAACGTCTGGAACACTTAAACACAAACGTCACCGGGTGGCCATGGCCTACCCGCAAAGGAGGAAGGGTAACCACAAAGCTCGAGTCAGGAGGACATCGAGAACAACGGCTCAGCGTACACCTCCGCTGCATGACTTCTCTTCCTGTCGTGATGTCTTCGACTGGCCACATGAGGTGATGTTCTGGTCGGCGACGACCTCCTACTGGTGGTGTCGGGTTGGTAGTGGCCTGGTGACGCCATAATCGCGATGAGCAAGGTGGGTTGGGGCGCAGCAGGGGATGGGGCAGTGTGCGGTCGGTGATGGGGTGTGGCGCGATGGGTGAAGCGCATGGCGCGGGGAGGGACGGGCGCGGTGGGGGAAGGGGGCGCGCAGGGTGGAGTGTGGCAGACAGATGCGAGTCTGAAGAAGAGGTAGAGCAAGAGGCAGTGTCAGTGGAGGCTAAGAAATGAGTGGATAAGAATTAATATAGAGAATGAGTGGTTGAGATGAGTCTAGAGTATATCCGATATTTTTGGGAGGGTCGTTCGCTCGGGTTGAAGCGTTTCCGATAAATTATATCTAGATATAAAATAAAAGTAATGTATCTATAAAAGCTAAAACATCTTATAATTTAAAATAGAGGAAGAAAGAACTTCATCCTTTAATTTTTGGCGTCAGCGTTGATATTCCATTTTTGACAACAACGCAACGAAACTCCCTGCGCAAAGGAAAACAGGCTGGACAAGCTGGCCAGATTTGTAAGATATACGGTCAAGTCAACTCGGGGGTAGGGTGCTAGGGGCGAGAGAGAAGGAGCCTGCAGGTTGACCCGCGGAAGTGCCCGGTTGGAGATCCTCTCGGAGTCTCGGGGCTTGCGTGCCGGGGCGCTTCAATGATTGTGGGCCCTCGATGGGGGAGCACCAACCGGCCAAGGCACACGTTGCACGCGCCACACACTTTGAGCCTTCCAGTAGGGCCAACCGGCCCTTTGCCTACAAAAAAGACCACACGACCTTGCGTTGCGGCTTAATTTACTGTTGTACCAAATCCAACACACAGTCCCTTAAAAAAACTCAGAGTGATAGTGCCAGCTTAATTTACTGTTGTACTACTCGTGTTTTCCTTTTGCTTTTTTTTTTAGATAATGGATAAACATCCGGCCTCTACATCCGTAGATGTACATGCAGCCAAAATTACGATAATGATAAAACCAAAAAGAAAGCCAAGGTCTTATAACATGACCAAGACGCTAACTTAAACAATAAAATTGTTTCCATCCGTTATTGGATATCTCTAGAGCAATAACTTCTAATTTCTTGCTTATTGTCGAGCGCGTCCCTTAGCTTGCTTCTACATCATCCGCAATTTGGGCCCGTGGCGTAACTTAATCAAAGACGCCCCCGAAAATGACCTCGCATAATAGAGTTAGATTTTATTTTATTAAAAACAACATCATTACGGCATCTCCAAATAGCCCAACACATAGCAGCCACTCCCACCCAAATCAAATTTCTAATCCTTTTATTTTGATTAGACAAATTAGCCACCAAACATGTGGTGATTGATCTAGGTTGAGTTAAACTAGTAGCAAAGAAGATAATCCTCCAAATCATTATGGCAATAGGGCAGTCCAGGAATAAGTGTTGAATAGTTTCATTCCCATTGCAACAAACGCAATTCTGACTCCCTTTCCAATTTTTCCTAGACAGGTTATCTTTGGTAAGAATGACACCTCTTTGTAGGAACCAGAGGAAAATTTTTAT